GGGCAATCTACTTCTGTAGTGATACTGCCTCGGAAACCCAAGGAGGGGTCGCTATGAGTCGAGTCCGACTCGACGGCACATAACAACAACAACAAAAGTTAGCTAAATAACATTGTCATCCATGCATTTTCACCCAAGTTATACTTCATAAATGTTGTTGTTGTTATGTACCATCAAGTCGGACCGACTCACAGCGACCCCTCCTTGGGTTGCCGAGGCAGTATCACTAAGGAAGTAGTTACTCCATCTTCCTTCCGAGGAGTGGATGGTGGGTTTATTTTAAGAGGTGGTAATAATCCTGTCTCCATGTTATAGGAGGTAGGTTACATTCAATTACTTCTCACAACAGCCAACTAGAAGATTATTCCATTGATTTTTCAGCACTGGATGGGCTGGCTTCTGCAATGGTAGCCAAATAAATGGGATTTCTCTATAACACATGCTGGTTCTGGATGAACTTGTTTGCCGGGCGCTCGTTCTGATTCTCAACAACACATCAAATCAGCTGGGCATTCTTCAAGGGCGGCTGGATAGTCTCTTGATTCACTTCTGCTTTGTGTGGCAGCCAGTCCTGTATGAAGGCCACCAACATCACAGGAAGCCTGGGCGGAACGAGACCTCAGGCCCCACCGTCAGGTCTGCCCGATATTAATTTTGAAAATGATCCAAGGAGTACATATAAGAGCAATGCATTCATAAATTTTAAGTATCAAAAAGAAAAACAGGTTGAGAGATGAAGCATCTTGGAAATAATGAACATTATCCTACATTATTCCCTCAACTGTTCAGGGATATTTTTCTCACCTTAAAAATGAACAAGAAGTTCATTTAAACAATTGCCATTGACTTAATTCCAGCTCATAGTGACCTAGAGGGCACAGTAGAAGAGCCCCCTTCAGATTTCCAAAGCTATAATCTTTACAGAAGCAAATTGCCATATCCTTCTCCCACTGCGCAACTGCTGGATTCAAACCACCAACCTTTCAATTAGCAGTCAAGCACTTAACCACTAGACCACTAAGGTACTTTGGTTATATAAAGGGTAAAAATAACCACTGAAATAAATAGCTGAGGACCTGACAAATCACCTCTCCCCTCCACAAACACCATCATATGAGGGACTCCTGAATTAGTCAGGATAGGCCAGTTTATATTGAGGCAACAAATTCCCCTAAAGTATATTTCTCTCCCATACTACTCATCTGACATGGGTCAGAAAGGGGCTTTCCTCCACATGGTCACTCAGATACATTGACTTCAGCTATGAATTTATGATTCCTGAGGTAGGAGATGAGAGTGATTGAGGGTTCCAAACTACCTCTTAAATGCTTCCTCCATTCATTGCCCAGAGCTACTCACATGGCCCTGCTTAACTGCAAAGGTGATGGGAAATGGAAGGGAACACACAGGTATTTAGTAAGTATACACTGTCCCAATCGTAAATGCTCTGCATGTTGGAGAGTCCCAGGATCCTGCCTTTGGCCTTCTCTCTTCACCATGCAGTGTCATAGGTGATCTTACCCAGCGCACCCGAGGCAGTATCACTACAGAAGTAAATTGCCCAATCTTCCTTCAGAGAAGTGGCTGGTGGGTTTGAACTGCCAGCCTTCTGGTTAATAGTCAAATGCCTTAGGCATTATGCCACCAGAGCTCCTACCCAGCACATAGATCTTTTTTTTTTATATTCCTTGGCCTTTATAAAGGAGCTCTGGTGGTGTAGTGGATAAGGTTTTTGGCTGCTAACCAGAAAGTCAATAGTTCAAACCCACCAACTGCTCCACAGAAGGAAGATGGGACGATCTACTTCCATAAAGATTTACAGTGTTGGTAAAATGATGAAAGCACTGTGGAAATTGGTATGGTGATTCCTTAAAAAGCTGGAAATAGAAATACCATTTGATCCAGCAATTCCATTACTAGGTATATATCCTAAAGAAGTGAGAGTCAGGACAAGAACAGGTATATGCACACCCATGTTCATTGCAGCACTATTCATAATAGCAAAGAGATGGAAACAGCCTAAGTGCCCATCAAGAGAGGAACAGATAAACAAACTGGTACATACACACAATGGAATACTGTGCAGCCCTAAAGAATAATGTAGAATCTGCAAAACACTGCATAACATGGATGAATTTGGAGGACATTAT